GCTGCTATGGCGCCTCCTGTTTACTTTTCCTGAGTATTCTTCGAAGCCAATAACTTGCTCATTTCCAGCATTTTGTTACTTTTGTATTTAATCTATCAGCCATTACTCTATTAAGGACATAGGCTTTTTCTGCTTCAGATGACACAAATGTACAATCGGTAGTTTTCCCAGAAACTGATCTAGATACTGATGGGACGTTGCAGAACACGTACCTATGACCAGGAAGTGGCAGATCTGAGCTCTGTAAAACTTGCAGGTTACTACAGTCAGGAACAAACACAGAACATGAAATGCTATGAGCCCAATTAGCCATGGTTCAGACCACTGCACCTGTAAACACACAAAATGTGCATTGTAATAAGTCATTGTTTTTAGTCAGGCAGAGATGGCTAACACCTCGATTAGCTAGTTAGTCAAGCCATTTTGGCAAAAGAAAATTAAAACGTACCGACATTAGAAACGTCCATATCGACGTTATTCTTAAATTACTGAATCCGTCGATGGGTATGGAGCTAATATTCTCTGGTTTTTGTTCTGTCATCTTTAAAAACGACAAAGCTAACCGTATAGCTTAGCTAAAGGTAAAAGAAAACGGAAATGCGAATGAAGCGGATGAGGTCACAGCCAGACAGCCAATCGGCTTCCTTCAAAGTGTAAACGTGAATACGTCTTCAAAAGTGTCTTTTTTTTGTCTTAATTATGTTTCACAAAAGTTCTTAAAATGTTTAAACAGTGAAAATCAGAAAAATATATTGTTACACAGCTGCAAAATGATTAAATAGGTAGAATAATAAAAGACAAAAGTTAAGCAAAATATTTTTAAATCAGTTTTAATATACAATGTATAGTGCAGCTAAGCACCACGTACGACCAAGAGACAGGTTTGTCTTTTACTACACAAAATCTGACAGTCTTAAAATCTATATTAACAAAAGATACATTTTCAACATGTAACATAAAAACACATTTAGTTTAGAGTGCACAATAAAAAATATTTTCTTTCCTTCCATCAGCTGATAGTAATGGCTCTGGAGCTGGGCTCCCTTTTTCTAAAGCAAACCACAGTTGTCACTACAGAGCACAATAAAAGTTTCTGACATCATTCATAGAACCTCATCCTTCAGACATGATCGCTGATGTAATACCTCTCAGACTTTGAATTTATAACTCCTACCACTTATCTCGCCACTGTTTCACTGTCCTTGTGCATGTCATTAAAGGTAGATATGCTTCTAATCACTTTCATGCATGTCCTGCTCCTCTTTGCCACAACTGGCTTCAGAGCTCCTCAACTATAAAAATACAGGACTTCTTCTTCTTCTTCTTCTCTGCACTTCTTCATCAACTTTGCTAAACTTCACATCTTCTACGAGATTTCCCAGCATGTGAACATATTGCACCCTCTAGACCAGTGTTTCTCAACCCTGGTCCTCAGCGCCCCCCTGTCCTGCATGCTTTAGGTATTTCCCTTCTGCCACACACCTGAATTGTATCTCTGGGTGATTAACAGGCTTCTGCAGTACTTGATGGTCATGCAATCATTTGAATCAGCTGTTCTGGAATAGAGGCACATCTAAAACATGCAGAGCAGGGGGGCGGTGAGGACCAGGGTTGAGAAACACTGCTCTAGACTTACTACCTAAAACAATTGTGTATTAATGCAATTCTAGGGCACAAATTGCATAAAAAAATTGCTAAAATGTGCTATTGCTCATTTCCATATACGGTATCTTTGGTCAGGTGTATGAAGTTATATAAGACTGTTGGAAAGAAAATGTGCATTCTCACTTCCTACCTGTTCCAGTACAACATACTGTTAATTTTTTGTTCAACTTTTCCAGTTTCTAAATATCTATATCCACAAAAATACATTACCTGCTACTGCTATCCTGCAGCAGGAGACTTGATTAAACATATGGAAACAACAAAATTGTGGGGGTGGGGGGAAAAGGCACAAAAAAACATATATATTTTTTTAAAATACAAGAATATAAAAAACATAGAGAGTTTGGTCAAGGTCCCAAGGTTACAACTAACTCCAAAGGCGGCATCCTTGCAGCGTAGCTCATGTCCTGTCTCTGCTGGGGTGAAAATCTGGAACAAAAGTTGCTGCCGCTGCGATGGGAGTGGAATAGGCGAGGGCGAAGTTGTACAGACCGAGCATCAGACACTTCCAGGTGGTGCGAAGTGCCTTCCCAACATTCTGGATATAGAAGAAAAATCGTCAAAAAGTTGTTTTTCAACACAAGGGTGTCACCATTAATTTAGCCCTACCAGACAAATAGGTTAAAATAATAAAAGGACAAGACTTAGTTTTCAAGGAGATATATATATATTCTTTTGTGGCACAATAACAGCAGCAGGAAGAGAAGCTCGTTTTCGTCCTGACTGCAACATCACGACAAAACGTCCTAAGAACTCCATTGTCTCGCACATCCTGGACAGGAAAGGGCTGACCGGCTGCAGCAGAAACAGGATGAACTGAGTATAACTATCCTACTGGAGCTGAACAGGGAACTATAAATTTTAAGCAGACAAGCTTCAGTTTGGATATGTAGCTATCAAATTTATGTAGATTTGATAGCTACATAAATACACCGTAGCTATCAAATCTCCGTCAATGAGGCCTGATCTGGATCTCACAATGAGAAGTATATTTTTTGCCAAAGATTAAGTCAGTTTCTTAACTTTAATCTTGTATATTACCTGTGCTTAGCAAGTACAACTCTTATTTTTCAGAATGAGGTCACTTTGGCAATTATAACTCATGCAAGGTTCTTCAGAGTTATTGTAGCATCTGATTGCTGTGGCTATATAGGATTTTTTATTTATTCATTTATTTGATTATTTTTATTCATTGCAATTGCTTAATGTGTTTTTGTCCTTTGAGATTTAAAGATATAAAATACATTATAAATAAAATATATCGATATTTATATTTTATTTTATTTTTACTTATTTGACTTTATGTCCACAGGGTTATGAGGGCAAAATTTGTAAATAGGTTTATTAAACTACAAAGACATCTGACCATTTTTAATATATCATCTGACGTGAAAGAATCATAATCGAAATACATCAGACGAAATTTAGCAGTTGTGTATGGAAATACTTAAAACTCAAAAGTGTGCTGCACACTCCTTTTTGTCGCTATATCTAAACAGTAACAGTCAGTTTTAGTTGAGCTAAAATACACAATACATACCTTTTTTACTTTCTTGTAGTTTTCTTTCTTCCTCTTTTTCTTCTCTTCTTTAGCCTCGTCATCTATCAGTGGTTCATAGCGCTCTGGCAGAAAGGCAAAGTTTAGGTCTTTTTTGGCTTTCTCGTTTGGACTGCTGTCATCAGAGGGTGGTTGATCCACAGAGTCAACATGCCGTTGATATTTTGCTGCACAACTATTCCTCCTTTCACCTGACACTCCTGCTGAATTCCTGTCAAACAGTCGGGATGGAAAGGATTTGGGCTTCATGTTGTCTCCTGGTTGCAAATTTGGGAGATGTAAGGAGAAGCACCAGTTTCCTCTGAGAGGTCAGCTATGTTGTCAACTAGTGTTACGTGCATCAGGCTGAAATGCATTCCAGTGGTGTTGGGGGTTGGGGAGTGGGGTGGCACACAGCCCTTAAAGGTGCAAATCCATTCTCCTCATCACAAGGCTGACCTCGAAAGAGCGTCAAGTGCAACGTTTTAATCAAAGTGACCGTTATTCTGAAGCATACAGCGTAGCAACCAGACTTAAGGCTAAGTGGAGTTAATATTGATATACGTAATTAGGCTAGTGCATTTTTCCTAAACCTGCCTAAAAATAAATTCAAAACCAATAAATTATTTTTTACAGCTTTCAAACCATTAACAGCAGAAGAAAAATGTATGCGAGTCCTTTAAGTAAACTAATAAATGTTTATATTAATAATCCAAAAACAATATACTAGTTTGTCCTTATTTAAGGTAAAACGCCTCACAAGTCTAAAGTATTTTAAAATCTCTGGTTTTCTTCCATTATTGTTGTTTAGCTCTCTTAATTTTCCCACCTACGCTGACCAGTTTCCCCTTCATTCTGAAGAAATGGACTGCATGACACAATCATGACATTTCACCACAGGTAACAAGTGTGTACAGACGAATGTGTCGTTTGTTTTTAAACACGGCATTTTTCGCTTGGGGCCAAAAAGTTAAGTTCTGGTCTCTGGCTTTTGACAAACGGCATCATAAAAAGTTATCCTGTAAAGAAATTTTTCTACCTGAGTTTTGCATCTCTGTATTTCTTCCAGTCAGAAGTATTCCAAAGGGAGGGGGCAAAAACACCAATACACATTTGCAGAACAGTTTATAAACTTTATTGTTTTGTGTCTTCAAAAATATTTAACCTGAGATAAATTATGCATCCACTGAATAGAAATGAGCCTGAAGAAAATGCTACAAATAAGAGATTTTACAAATCTGAAATGTGACCAACCTTTTTAACAACTGATGGCAAAATGATACAAAACTAGCAGCAATTTTTACTTTATGCTATAACGTAAAAGTTTATCATTCACTTTTAACAGCAGCCGTAAGAGAAGCGTACTTGTGCAGAAAGTACAAGGACCTGTTGAAAGTCACGTTGAAAAACCTAAAAACTACAAAACTTCTCTCTGCTGCAAAATCTGTACAATTTTTAAAGTGAAAAGGTGAAAAAATTCAATTAATTTAGACGTGTAGGCACCACCAAAATCGTCTTTAAATAATTACAAGTAAAATACAAAATAGTAATTAACATTAAAAGCTTAAAAGTTAACTTTTCAAACAGTTTGCATTTCAGACCTTATTTCTTACGTAGCCAACATAAGAAAACTGTGCAACATTGTATACATCTTAAATCAAATTTGCCATTTTTTTTTTTATCAAACAATCCTTTATACAATAGCTTTTACATGAAACAAATGAGATCTTAAGGGGCAAAACTGAAAAACTGTATACTATTACAGAAAAAACAAACAAACTTTACTTTAGAAATATAAACAGGCAATTTATATATAAAAATATATATATATATATATTTTTATTTTTTTTTTTTGTGGTGTCAGTATTTCACCACTAGATGCCACTGGGCTCCAGAAACTGAAGCTGTAACTTGTTCTGGTTCAAGCAGTTGCATTGATCATAACCTCGACTTTAAAGCTGCAAGCAGCATTATGTGGCCATATTTATGAAAATAGACTCTTTAGCGGCTATGTCTCATTTATAAGTAATGCAGCTATTTTTTGTTTTGTTTATTATTATCATTTTACGAATTGAACATGTTACATTACATTACCAAATTCAACATTGCAATGGAGAGTATTACTGGTCTTCACTGCGAAAGTTGTTCTGCCCTCGGTCAGGGTCCTTTAGGCGGAGGATACGGATGGTTTTGCTCACGGGAAGAGAACTGAGCAGGAAAGAAAGCAACAAAAATATTGACAAGATTTTAAGCTGCTTAGTACTTTTAAAAGAATCAGACAAAGTTCTTAAAGTAGTGTCATTTCAGTTAAGCGGTTCTGCCATACACCATTTAAGACACGAGAAAGTAAGACAAGTCGAAAGGTGTGGGTGGAATTGATTTGCGTTGCATAAACAGAAATGGTTCCGATGGTTACCTCATGTTCTGGGGCGTGAGGAAAATGAACTGTCTGTAGCGCTGACTGGCAGCTACTTTCAGCATCATGTCCATCGATATCCTCCTGTTCACCATGTCCTAAAAGAGCAAAAGAGGAACAGAGTCAAGTTCATTTTTTTTTCCATCCTAGATCAAGTTATGCTGCAAATTCTGGTAAGTTAGAGATAAATTGGCTAATAATTTATTTTAATAATCATAATGATGACTTTTTATTATATTAAAAGAAACATTTTGCATTATGCACGGCCAATCATCTCACCCCCCTGCCCCCCCAAAAAAGGTCAGATTTGTCTCACTTCCATGTGGTACTAAATCAAACACACTCAATAGTTTTCAAAGCGTCTGCAGACTGAGAAGTCACGTTGCAATTTATCCGACTTTAATGTCATCGACGTGAGACATGCACTATAATTCTGCACCAGAAAAAGCCAGACAGTAAATGGATGAAATGTAAGGAGGGATGAACCACACATGTGATGTCTGTTTGATCAGATGTATAATTACTAAATGATACAAAGTAAACTTTGTTAGCCAGCTATGTTCTGAACTTGTAGACATATCGGGCGTCTTTTATGTTGGGCCTAACGCATGAAAAAGTAGATATAGTTCATGTTGCCCTCCCCTTGTCATCATGACACATAAATGACATACAAACACACAACAAATGTCAATAAAACCGTATGACATTACCATGTAAACATCAAACTCGTCAAGGCAGCGAAAAGGCGACTCTGTGATTGCCCAGAGAGAGAGGACAAAACAAACGGTGGAGAAGGAGCGCTCGCCTCCAGACAGAGATCGCATGTCATTCAAATCCGCTTTGTTTCCTTGGCCAGGCTGCACCTAAGAAAAAAATAAAAATCGACTATGTCAGGTTCGTACAGAAAATTCCTTGCCTGAGGTCATTTTATTTATTGAATTTCCCTTTGGGATCAAGAAAGTGTTTTAGAATTAGTGACTTAATTTGTAAAAAGCAGTGGCCAAAACTGTCAAAAACGTATTGTGTTAACTGTAGTTAGACTTCACAACTGAAACAAACAAAAGAAAATGCTAAAAATATATATGCTTATAATTAAATGTAGGTATATCAACCAGGATATTGGATTAGCACCTACAATTTTCTAGTCTTTCTGCTATGAAAGTTTAAAGTACTTACAAGTAATAAAAGATCAAAATAATTGTGTCTGCATTTGATCCTTTTGTCACTTTTTTCAGAATCAGAATGCATTTATTGTCATTGTACAGAAGCACAACAAAATGTCCTTTCAGTACGGCCAATCCAAAGAAAAGACTAACAAACAGCAAGAGCCTGTTTGTTTGGTTAGTAGCGCTTTAGGTCAGCTCCACAGATGTCATGGGAAGGGAATGGGACCAGAGCAACTTGTTCCGTTAATTTTCCATCTGCCTTATCAATGGCGACTCCCACAGAGTCAAATTTGTGGTCGCTCCTGCTGAACCGAGCTTAAATCAGAATCTGAAACTCATCACTTCATTGAACGCAGAGTGAAATACATCAGAGTTTGTTGTGGATTATGTCCATTTGTTGTGGATTATGCTAATGATCAGATAATAAAAACCGTCACTAACTTTCACCGCTCCTCAGCAGAACCACAGGTTAATCACCTCAATGCAACATCAAGGTAGTAATTCATGCATTCAGTAAGATTATGGCTTCTAATTTACTAGAAGTAAAGACTTGAAATATTTCAACCTGTAATAAATTTATGCAACATATTAGTTTCATTCTGATATTTTGTGCATTTTTAGATATTCTCATGTTTTGAGCTATACTTATAAAGATCAGAGGCAATCTCATTCTACTTCTGTGTGAGGAAAATTTCTGAGAAAAAAAAAGGGGGTTTTAAAAATGTTTTAAGACAAAAGCAAAGTTAGAACATAGTTGACACCAGTGGTTCCCTAATATCTCTGATGCTGATCCTTGAAAAAACAGTGAAAAAGATTCATGAGCCTAACAAGCAGCGCCAATCTCTTGGTGCATCTCTTTCTGAATACCAACTTGAGGCTGAAGCGAACAAACGAAAGCTGCTTACCGAGATGGTCAAGGTCTCATTCTTGTGGTCAAACGTCATGCTTCCACTATAGCCTCTCTGTGCCAGCATACTATTAAAGTAGTATTTACAACGTGCTGAGAGGAACCTAATGTGGAAAAATGAACAATCGTAAATAATTAAAAAAAAAAAAAGCTTCCAGAGGAAAAATAAGAGTATCTAAAACAAAAGCTAATTAATATTTTTCTTGTGGAAGTACAAAGAAAATGCTCTTAGTGCAGTGTAGTGCATCACTGCTTAATGAACAAAGGCGTCCTCGTGACTTACTTTCTGAGATCAGCGTAAACCTGGAGCCTGTAGTTCATGACGGTATCCAGACTTCTGATGAAGCTGTTCAGGCTCCTCATTTGCTGAGACATATTCTTGTAGCTCTCTAAAGCCTCATGATATTGCCTTGACAAAAGAGTGTAAAAACAAAATTAGGAGGACTAGTATTTTGGTGTGTTGTCAGAACTGCATTCTGTCAAGTAAAAGTGGAAATTGTACACTGCAATGGTTCCCAAATTGTAAAACATGAAGCTATTACCTCACAATCTCCTCGCGGTCCCCTTGCTGTTCCTGCTGAGTTGAGATCTTGACTTTGAGACGATTAATTTCACTGTCAATGCTTTTGGCAGTTCGACGGACTTCAAGGCGTTCTGGACAAATCTCAGAGGCCTTAGCGACGGAGGCCTAAGTTGAGAAAAAGGCAGCTGTTACAAAAAAAAAAAAAAACAGAAAAAAAAGCTGTGGCGTGTGGAGTGTCGCCAAGACAACCAGTTTGCAAAGCATGAAAACAAAGGAGAAACAGAAACGAGAGGTTAATATGAGCAACAAGAAATGCTCATCTGAGGAAAACAACGTAAGCTGTAGCTAAGGGGTCAAGTCATCA